CTCGGCCTCATGTGGGGTGGGCATGGGTGGCTGCGGGGGGCCCGGGCTCCGTGGTGCCGGCTCGGACCTCACCACAGCCTGGGCTTCTGCGAGAGGCGGGAGCTCCCTGAGGACGGGGGCTGCCCTGGCTGGCGAGGGCGTGTCCAGCGGGGCCGAGGGCGCAGGTCAGCGACCGGGGCCCGGGCCTGCACCTCCAGACCCCGCCTGACTCGCCCCACGCCCGGCCAGCGGGCTGAGGGTGCGGGTCAGTGAGGGGCCTGGGAAGCGGACATCTCTCTGGCCGGCCCCTGGGAAGCCGGAAGTCTGGGTTCCTCTTTCTTGGTTTCCGGCTCCCTGTCCCCCCAAGGGGCTGGGCCCTCAGAGCCTGCGGTGTACAGTCAGGCGTTGGGAGGGCCCCACCCCAGCGCCCTCCAACCCGGGGTTCCCCGCGGGGGCCAGGAGAGCAGGGAGGCAGGCGGGTCTGCTCCCAGCCCGGGCCAGGCAGCCTGGCCCCCAGGACCCCAACCCGGCCACCGCGCCTGCGACTCTGTCCTGGATGCGGCCCTGGCCCCCCCGCACCCCGCACCCCGCGCTCGCCCTGGCCCAGGCCTCCTGGGCCCTCTCCCCACCCGCCAGACGGTGGCAGCGGATGGGCGGGGGCTGGCGCCCAGACCCGGGGGCCGCAGCCGAGCCCCCCGTGGGCCAGGTGCGACCGGGCGCCCCTGAGCCAGCCGTGGCCGGTGGGTGCTGGGCGGGCGGCTGAGCTCCGGCTCCCACCCCCTGCTCACGACCTTGGGTTCCCCGTGGCCTCTGGGCACCAGAGGGGCAAGCAGGTCTCTGGGGCGGCCAGGGGCAGGCGGCCAGACCCTACCTGAGGGCGCTGACCCACCTGAGGGCGCTGTCCTCGCAGGTAGGGCCCCAGCCCCCGGGGCCTGCAGCAAGGTCTGGGGAGGCCCCAGCTGCCTCGAGCAAGGGGCGGCTCCCCCTGCGCAAGTTTCTGGGGAAAGGAAGGGTGTGGCGGCCTCTGAGGGGTGGCTGGGCGGCAGTGTGCCCGGGCTGCAGCTTCCCCAGCAGAGCCACCAGCTTCCTCCTCTACACCCCACCCAGCGTGGGGGGGCGCCAAGCACCCTCAGACCACCCTGCCGCCTGCGGCTGTGCTGTGGAGGGCCCCGGGGCTGGGCCCAGGGCTGCCCTCCGGTCCAGGTGGGCCCTGGATGGTGCCCCGCCCGCTCCATCCTCAGCCCCATGGGGCTGCCACACCCCAGACACCTGCTCTGCAGGGTGGGGTGCAGGGTCTGAGCTGGGGCGCTGCCCCTCGTCCTCGCAGTCGGGGGCTCCAGGCCATCCCAGGTCCCCCTGGCCTGGGCTAGGAGAGGGGGACGGGCAGCCCAGGCCCCAGGGACACAGGTCCCTTGGGAGTGGCCACTGCTCCACAGAAGGAAAAAGCGCCCGGAGCCGCCCAGTCCAAAAAAGACTCGGAAAGGGTGACAGTCCCGGGAAAAGGGCGGCCGCGCGGCGCAGCCTACCTGCTCCCCTCCGCGGCGGGGGGCGCCC